TACACCTAGTGAGCCAGACAAACCTACCTAGGTTTCACCTAAACGGATCGTCAGGGAAAGTAAGGCTAACGAGGCAAAGAGAAACGCATATTTATAGGCGATAGCTAAAATCATACCACGTGACCAAACAACCACAAACACAAACTTAAGTTTGTAAATATTTATTCAACAAAAATGGGGAGGGGAAAAACAAAAAAAAAAAGCAACATCAAGGTGGAATGACAATAAAGGGGAAAACGTCTAATCTAGTAGCTAAGATTTTTTATGTTTACATACGTTAAGGATTTCAGTTTTAGAGTTTAATAGCTGGTTAGGTTGATCATATAAAGCTATGGCTAATTTCTCCTCTGCACATAATTTACAAAATTTATGGCCTGCTTTATATTTTGGGCATTTTTTTTAATATTTCCTATTTAAAGATGGGGTCTATATTATCTTCCTGTTTGGTTTTCCATTCATAAGTAGATAGCGTGGTACTATGCTTAATTTTTGCGTTTTTAAAACTACTCGTATGGTTATAATATCTTTTTTTAAATTTACCCTGAGTAGCATCTATGTATGTTTTAGGGTTAGTATCCTCACTATTTTTGTAAATTTTCACTTGATAAACCACGCATTATTGCTGGCATTTTCCCTGTAATGGACAGATGTTTTTGTTTCTACAATTACAAGTAGGAGGATTACTGCGTGGATTATTCCTAGTTTTTTTCTTATTCAATCCATTTATTATAGTCCCTACGTTCGACATGCAACAATAACTAAGTTTTACATTGTTTTTGTTGAATATTTTATGTAACTCAGTTTTTTTTGGGGGGAATGTTGCTGTAATAAATTAAAAATTGATTAAAAAATTAATTAAAAATTAAAATTAGAGGGTTTTTCGAAACGAGTCTAGTTATCTATATATATATATATATATATATATATATATATATATATATATATATATATATATATATATAAGTGAACATAGATAGTCAACACTTAGAGGCGACAGTCTGTTTCATGCTATTTCAATCGTCAGGCCACATATCTGTAAAGGCCATATATATATATATATATATATATATATATATATATATATATATATATATATATATATATATATATAAAATTAAAATGCAGATTTGGATGATTTTGAGGATTTATTGAAAAAAGCTTTTCTTTTTATTCAGTTCGTAAACGGATGAGCCAATCCTGAAATGCGTGCGGCTTCTTTTAGAACTTCTTAATACAATACGTTTTATTTTGAGATTCTCAGCGTGCAATATGCCAGCTCTTGTGAAACTCTGAATCTGCAAATGTTTTATCAATTGTATGTCATACTTATTCACATATAGCAAAACTATTTAGTAAGATATGACGTATTTTAGAAGCATTCGGATATAAATAAATCTTCTTTTCAAGAGGCTAACTGATTCTTACCCGGGAAAAATGAAAAAAAAAAATGACTTATTAAGTAGCTCTTGATGCAATGCCGCCTGATTCGGTCAGTACGAAAGGAAAATATTATACAGACTCTGAGATGCATAAAGCCTGTCAGCACGTAGAAGGAAATCGTCGAGCCGGGCTCAAACTCTTGTTAAGCCTGTTGCGTTCTCTTTCTGAAAAATGACCTTGGAAAAGGTCAGAATCCATATGCCTATCCCCAAACTACGTGTTAAATAGCATATTTGACTGAGCTCTGAAGGCTTAGTTGATAACCTGTCTCCGAGTTGTTCTCTCGAGGAGGCCCTTGTCTTTAATGTCTATTCGGACTTAAGGTCACCACAGAACTCAACTCAAACTTTTATATACGATCTATCTCTGAGGTACTGAAGAAATTGTCGGTTACTTGTAAGTACCTGACTCGTCAAATCCAATACTAAACAAGAATCAGATCAAGAGGAAAATGAACAAAAGCTGCCCTGTGGTTGATGAAATGTTTTTCCACTTTACAACATATTTTGGCTGGTATAAGAAAGTTAATCGACTATTTATTACTAAACAATAAAAATAAGTTTTAGGGGTATCTTCTCCTAAGAATAAAATGGAATGTACAATGAAAATTATTAATGAATATATTTGAGGGTGACTTGCCTGCATAGGTATATTTGTGCGTGAAGCGTCCACGGCCGTTTTTGCTTCAGTGTGAAAAGTTCATGGCACAGACCTCGAAAGGAGGAAAAACGGGAAGCAGGGGTTAATTAAGATTTCGCTTGTTTTTATATTCTCAAGGCTGCTGCTGATACTTTTTTTTATTAAGGCACTACATTAACTAGCAGCACCCATGAAAATTCCACGGTGTTATTGATTTTCATTGAAATTGTTAATAGTTTTGAGGTCTCATAAATTCGTGGGATGCAAAAATTTTAAATGATCGCTTTATAGAATAATTACAATTATATTCTTTCGTAGTTTATGACAGCAACACAAGTATGGAACAAACCTGAACATTGACTATATATATATATATATATATATATATATATATATATATATATATATATTATAATGCAAGACCCTTCGTAAAAGCGAATCTAGTTCTCTCAGACTCTGTGTGTTTATCTAAAAAAATAAATATGCTTAAATTCACTTCATCGCTGCCGTGCGCCGACGATTTGGGGGTGGGTAAAATCTCAGACTGGCGTAAATTCAGCCGCGTTTCGATCCTAGCTAGTGGCAACCAGATGTCTAGGCACACTGATGCGTTGTGATACAGCGAAACAATCTGTCTGTGGATGACAATCAATCTATCTATCTATCTATCTATCTATCTATATATATATATATATATATATATATATTTGTGTGTGTGTGTGTGCGTGTGTGTTATTGGCCAACACCAAGCGGTGACAGTCTGTTTGATCATTCAACACATTCTTTAGGCCATGTGTGCTGTGTTTTGGCGCGACTATTTATAGATGTTGTTTTCTGTTAAGAGAACAAATAGCATTACAAAGTAACTAGAAATAACGGCATTCGAATCCACAATTCTTCCTACTCAGTAGCCTCTTGAAACATGACCATAAGTGCCAACCTTATAACATTTAGGATAACACAACAGACCTCGTCAGCCATGATGCACTATTGAGAAGCGTATATAAATAGTCGATCAAAATACAACACACATGGCCTTATGATTGCATTGAATAATGACACTAATTGTCACGTCTTGGTGTTGACATCAGTATTCACCTTTTTATTTATATATGATCTATCTCTGATATTGAACACTTTTACCCATCAATATAGTATACCATGAAACTATATTTTTCTTATATATATATATATATATATATATATATATATATATATATATATATATATATATAGTTAAACATATATTATTAAATATAACATATTTCTATGTCATAATACGAAAATATTATCTTTGAATATATATATATATATATATATATATATATATATATATATATTATATAAAAGAAAGAACAGTGAGATATATAATTCGCTTGAAGATGAAACAGAACTAATGCTTTTAATTTAATTATATGATTAAATTTGAAGTTTTTAGATTTCAGTTTTGAAACATCTTCCTGGGTAGCGAGGAAACCATATTTTAAATCAGTTAATTTATAATATATATATATATATATATATATATATATATATATATATATATATATATATATATATATATATATATATGTTCAAATAACAGTCATAGTTGTAAAGCGACTCAGTTCTTAAGCTTTTACTGAACCTAGAAATAATTTATGTGCAATAATATTTAAATAACAGGTTTACACATCGGTTTGTATTATTGACACAACTGGTGAAAATATATATGCAATATGTAAATAATATGTACACTCAGATTCAAAAAATATTTAAGTCTCCTTTAATCTATGTTTGCACAATACTATATATATATATATATATATATATATATATATATATATATATATATATATATATAAATATATGAAGAAATATAGTCTTATGGTGTATATATCTATGAGATAAAGTGCTCAATATCGAGAAATTAATAAAAAGTGAACATAGAAGTCGACACTTAGAGGCGACAGTCTGTTTCATGCTAGATACAATCGTCAAGCCCTGACGATTGCATCTAGCATGAGACAGACTAAGTGTTGACTTCTATGTTCACTTTTATATATATATATATATATGTATGTATGTATGTATGTATACTATAGTATTTATGCTACATAAAAGACTGACTAACAATATATCCACAATAACATAGAAATGAAATACCCTATTAGTAGTCGGTTGTGTCAAAAGTCACTTATTTTCAGTTTAAAATGCATTTAAATATGACCATTTGTCCATACCTTGAAGAGATTGTTATTGGTTGTTTCTTCATGGCTATAAAAGGTGTTGACGCTTTAAACAGGAACATTTCGAAAAGTTAAAAGTAATTTTCTTGTTGTATTGGAAATTATCCATAGTGATCTATTTCCTTGATACAGTGTAATATATAAGACCAGAGTAACAAAATAGATTCTTACTGCCTGTCATCGCCTGAATTCAATAGTAATGTCAAAGCGTAACGGAGAGAAAGTTGTGGAGGGTCATGATCGCAAAAGTCTTGAAGGGACACGTCACATAAAAGAAGACCGGTCCAACGGTATTTCTAAGATTGTTAGCTTCACCTTTTGGAGAGGCTTCTCGTTAGGGTACATGGATAATATCTGTTTATGTAAGCTTAGGTTTAACAAACAGAAACAAAAGCGGCACTTCAAAAGTTTGATGGACACAAACCATCTTATATTTTGTGAATGACTCATTTGTTTTTACGGTTTATCAACCCATTGCAGGTTATTTAAAGCTAGAAATAATTTATACAGTAAAACTTTTTTTTTTTTTTTTTTTGGAATTCACCTATTCGTCCCCCGCCGAGCGAGGTGAGGGTAGATTCCTATTTTTTTCATGGGCTTTTGAGCAGAAGTCAATATGATGAACCCAATTAGAATTTGGAATTTGGCACTCTGATTTCCAATTCCGCGCCGTTATCCATTACACATCTAAGTTTACAGCACCTGGTATTCCCAAGTGGTCACCCATTTAGGTTCTGACCTGGATCGACGTTTCTTAACTTCGGTGATCTTGTGTGAACGGGTGTTTCGATGTGACCCACGCCTTATATTTCGGAAGCATCTAATGCTAAGTGTATATCTCTATCTATAAAAGGCAGGATGTGCGTGCGTGTGTGTGTGTGTGTGTGTGTGTGTGTGTGTGTGTGTGTGTGTGTGTGTGTGTGTGTGTGTGTGTGTGTGTGTGTGTAATGAATGCAAGGCCGCAATTTTCGACGGATTTGCACCAAAATTTATATGCACATGCTCAAAGCTAGCAAGAAGGCCAAGACCAACTTTGCATTTCCCAACTCCCATCGATAGTGAAAATAATCGATTTTTTCATGCTTCTACAGCAGTTTTCATGTAGTTTGCAGCCATTTTCTACTGGCCAGAATGAGAGCCTATAGTTGGCTGCCACGAATACGCAGGAAGATTCTATTGGTCAACGTGAGAGCCAACAGCTGACTGACACGAATGTTAACTTGCATTCTAGCATGCAAAACAAATCGATAGCTGCATTCGTCACAAGTGGGAAACATTTAAATCCGCATGGCACTTTACTCCAATTGGCTCATTCGCTTGCTTAAACTCAACGTTGATTCTGATTCTGCAGAACTGGGTTGGGTGTGAAAAAGTATTTGTTGTTAACATTCTTTTTTCATTCGGTTTTTCCAGTTACGAGTCCTTTTTTAAAGCAGATCGTTTTGTCTTCATTTTGTTTAGTTTTTTTTCGTAACAGATTTAATGTTTAATATAGAGCTTAGAAAAAATTTGCAGTGTGATATAGGCAAGAAGTAAGGCATGTAGCAACATCAGCACGGCAAAGGGCACACGTTCAAAGGCAAGGAAGGGTAAAAATATTTTAAGTCAAGTGATAGCGATTGCTGTATGAGTCGTACGATTTTTGAATCAAGCACGGGCAACGCCGGGCCATGCTGCTAGTAAAGTAATAAAATGCAAATGAGTTTCCTTTCGAAATGCATGTCAACTGATTTTGTAGCGATTGCCGTATGCAAATGTTTTCAAAACGACTCCGCGATACCTATTCGAGATATGTTGAGCACTTCTGCGATGTCCCGTATCATGAAACTTTGTTTTAGTCAGCGTTTGGATTTCGTTATCGTCAACGGCTTCCAGACCTGCCAGAAAGTCCTAGGTTCCCTAGGGCAAACTTTTTACTTCTGAATCTGGGACACCGCTTACATAAAAACACTCTCAACTAATATCTTTTTTGTTGGTTCGTTCAGCGTATATTTGTTTTACAAAAGTAACGAAAGGTAATCAAATGACGAAAAATTCATCTCATTTTCATTCGTTATCACTTTTAACGTTCACAATCCGTACAGGGCAATGTGCCTTTTCTATGGAAAAGACACGTTGTCACTTTTCAGAATAATGATAAATTTCAGTCCCTTGTGAAATCCAATATTGTGTTCAAACGACACATATTCAGAAACGCAACGCACTTTTGTTCCAAGCCAGTACTCCGTATTTTCTTCCTTTATGAAACTGATATATAACACTAGACCACTCCTGTCATTACGTTATCCTTTCAGATTATTAAAGTAAAAGATGCCTGGTCGACATGCGTGGGGCATAACATAGCAATAACTAATAACAATTGATAAGGTGCGTATTAGGTTTACAGTTAGTTCACATATGCTCAAGAATTGTCAATAATCAACACTGTTTTCTGCTCTGAGGCGATCGTTCTCCCAAATCAAAATCTGTTTAACATCTCATAATGTCTGAACCGGTATAACAGTCCAGAAAATGCTCACATTATTGAACACAGAATATACTCACAGCTGACAATATACGCATAGCCCAGAGTAGACACCCAATTCAGAATACACCTACAGTCCAGAATATACTTATATATATATATATATATAATAAAAAGGCTTAAACACTAATATTCCATGGTCATAATTTATTCCATTGGAATCGTAAATACGATCCAAATCATCAGACCTACAAATTCAAAAATGAAAACAGAAAAAAACAACTCCGGAAATCAAAACGAATTTAGAGAAAGAGTAAGTATGAGGAGGAGGGACAGAGAGAATTCTAGGAGATGTGGGTGGGGTGAGGGAATTTAAAAAAGAGGAGAGAAAGAAAGTCGACGGATGTCTAATGCATAAAGATACATTTCGTGGTGACATACATACATCACGAACAATTAGAAGTTAGGATAGGAGGGAAAAAAAAAAAAGAGGAGGGGGGAGAGAGATGGGACGAAGGAAAATAAAATTGTGTTTACTTAAAGGGCCGCTTTGTAATTGAGAAAATTAGTATAGACTCCAGGTTAGAATCAAATATAAATATATGAAGGTGAATATAAAAGATTGTCTTATTTAGCAAGGACCAAATATTTCTATGTTTAAAACACATACTAATACACACAAAAAACAATACAAGTAGGTACATACACTTAGGCATGTACTCACACACCAGACATACGTGTACATACACATGCACATACATACACACATACATATAAATATATATATATACATATATATATATATATATATATATATATATATATATATAAAAAATATATTCACATATCCACACATACACATATTCATCTATATTCATATACACACACTTTTCACATACATATACACGTATACATATACCCCATGCATATATTCATACATACATACATACTTATACATACACAAACATATACATATACATACACATACATATATATACCCATATACATATATATACATATATATCCATATACATATATACATATACCCATACATACACACACATACACATACACATATACACACATACATACATATACACACATACATACATATATACACACATACACACATATACACATACATATACACATGCAAATACATACACACCTTTACACATGTATATATATACACATGCAAATACATACACCCTTACACATGTATATATACACATACACACACATACACACACATATAAACATGTATATACAAAAGTACACATACACACCTATACATATACATACATAAACACCTCCATACGTACATATATACACACTTACATACATACACACATATACACATACATACATACTTACAAATATACACACACATATATATATATACACATACATACATATAAACAGACACAGAGATATACACATATGTACATATATATAAAAAAGTTAAAACCCAAATAAGTGACGATTCAAATATTTGCGTGTATGAAACAAAAAAAAAAATTATATATATATATATATATATATATATATATATATATATATATATACATATACATGCATATACATACACATACACTTACATACATACATACATGCACACACATACACAAACACACACACATACATATATATATATAAATACATAGCGCATCACATAAACGTGCACAAAGGTACATTTAGAGATAAACATAATAGTCATACAATTAAAATGTCATGCCCGATGTTATAGGACTAAGATGGAGCCGACATAAGTGACAACATGTTACAAAACGGTGTTCAAGTTTGGAAACGTTTCTTATGTCTACATTTAGAGAATATCTCATTCCGAAGATTCAGCAGCTCATCTCGATTTTTATCTTTGATAATGAAGATTTATATATATATATATATATATATTAAATAAAAACAGACGACTTTAAGGTTCCATGTAATAAATTATTTCATCACAGCCCTTTTAAAAGGACTGCGGATCATCAGACTTTACTTTTAATTAATTGCTCTGAATTTACATTGAGCTCTCTGGTTTTTTATCCTCCTTAGGTTTACCCATACGGATTACCTAGTTTTTCATAAACTATATATATATATATATATATATATATATATATATATATATATATATATATATATATATATAAATTCATGAATCATTCATACAAAAAACATTTTCAGGTTACATCTCTATTTTCGTTGTTCTCTTATTACTGAGAAGTAAAAACAGGAACAAAATTTCCATACCTGAGGGATGTCTGTAGGAACAGACGAAAGCATAAATATTAAAAGACCTTATGCAACTGGAATTTATGAACAGGGATCATATCATTCATATACAGGTTCGGGGTTGATGTATCTTATTTATATTGTTCGCGAAGATGTATTCTCGCCATTTAAATCATTAACCTCTATATTTGTATTTTGTATGAATGATTCATGAATTTATAAATTGCACCTTTAGCTGAAATAAAATATATATATATATATATATATATATATATATATATATATATATATATATTATGAAATGGACAAAGTCCGACAATTATTTTAAGACATTTTATGTTTATACATTCTTTTTTAAACAGTATTAAACAACATTTACCGGCCTGAATGTCCGAGAAATTGTCATACAAAATATGCGTCCTCTAACAGGAATCGAACCTGTATCCTATACGGAACCGTCATATCGGCTGACGTGCTTTTACCGATTTCGCCACAGATAAAAAAGAATGTATAAGCATAAAAATGTCTTAAAATAATTGTCGGACTTTGTCCATTTCATAATGTGTGACGTCATTTGTTTACGTTTGGGTACGCATCGAGCAGATATGAATGTACGTGAGAAAATCATGGAAAATTGTAGTTTAAAAGCAGTAAAATCGACCTTGCTAACCGGAACGCTCCCCTGTAGCGAAATCGGTAAAAACACGTCAGGCTATATGACGGTTCCGTTTAGGATACAGGTTCGATTCCTGTCGGGGGACGCATATTTTTCTATGACAATTTCACGTACATTCAAGCCGGTAAATGTTGTTAATAATGTTTATTATAAACAGAGCACTTACTTAAATATTTGTATCCATAAAAAAGAATGTATAAACATAAAAATGTCTTTATATATAATTTCCTCTTTCATAATTCGACGACGGTTTTAAGCATGTGGAACTAGATTGACAAAAATATCTCGCCATTTTGCTGTTGAAATTGCTAAGTATAAGCATACGTTCTGTTTTACTAGTTTCTTTTGTCGCCCTTGGCTATAAGATTCTCTTCCAATGCCTTGCTTTACTGCGAACTACAATCTGCAAAACATTAAATGAAACGCCTTCGTCATCTGTCTCCATGTTCTTGTTACTGTCCTTTCGCCTCAGGAGAGCTTCTTAAGTTTCTCTCACGCTCGCTAACCCCTTGCGTCATAGTGGCTTTATCGATTTGCTTAGGTGAAATGATTAAACAAAAAGAACATTTCTACTGAATGAACGTCTGCCCCAAAGCCAGCGACGTAAGTGCTACGTTGCCTCTGCAAACCTCTTGGTCTTGACTACGTACGATTGAAAACAATTCTCTAATCTATAGCCAAGTAGTTCTTTCATTGAGTTCTGGCCATAATACTTTAGATATAGTCATATGTCCTTTTACTGTCCGCCGAGTTCGGATAGCAACCCAAAAGCAAATGGCAGAAGCGATCATAGGGATTGCATTCAAAAGCTCGTCTGATTCTTCGTACATTGAGGCAGCAAACTGTTCCTGACAGCTGCCACTGAGAATGGAAGGATTTGAGAAGACCAGGTTGCTATTCGTATAACCGGTGAAAAAAAAAGAAAAATGAAGTTCTCCTTGAAGTATCTTTTGCCAAAGGTGGAACTAGAAAAGAAATGGCGCGAATTATCATTCGGGAGTTGAACAGATCCGATATACGTGGCTGTATCTTTGTTCTTTAATTTGACGTTCTTATGTCAAATAGAGGATTCGATAATAAAGCTTTTTGTTCTTCTTCCTTCATTTTCTTCTTTATTTTTCTTTTTCTTCTTCCTTCTAAATTCTTTTTCTTCTTCTTGTCCTTCTTTTTCTTGTTCTTCTTCTTCCTTCTTTTGCATTCTTTTTTTTCTTCTTCATTTTCTTTCTTCTTCTTCCTTGTCTCTCTACTTCTTTCTTCTAATTTCTTTTTCTTCTTGCTCCTTCTCCTTTCTTTTTATCCTTCGTTCTTTTCTTCTTTCTTTTTCTTTTTCTTCCTTCTTTTCCTCCCCCTCCTCCTCCTCCTCCTTCTTCTTCTTCTTCTTCTGTCTACTAATTTCTTTTTCTTCTTGCTCCTTCTCCTCCTTTCTTTTTATCCTACGTTCTTCTTTCTTTTTCTTCTTCTTCATTCTTTTCCTCCTCCTCCTCCTCCTCCTCCTCCTCCTTCTTCATCTTCTTCTTCTTCTTCTTCTTCTTCTTCTTCTTCTGTCTACTAATTTCTTTTTCTTCTTGCTCCTTCTCCTTTCTTTTTCTCCTTCGTTCTTTTCTTCTTTCTTTTTCTTTTTCTTCCTTCTTTTCCTCCCCCTCCTCCTCCTCCTCCTTCTTCTTCTTCTTCTTCTTCTTCTTCTTCCTTGTCTGTCTACTAATTTCTTTTTCTTCTTGCTCCTTCTCCTCCTTTCTTTTTCTCCTACGTTCTTTTCTTCTTTCTTTTTCTTCTTCTTCTTCCTTCTTTTTCCTCCTCCCCCCCCCTCCTCCTCCTCCTTCTTCCTTGTCTGTCTACTTCATATTTTTCTTTTTCTTCTTGCTCCTTCTCCTTTCTTTTTCTCCTTCGTTCTTTTCTTCTTTCTTTTTCTTTTTCTTCCTTTTTTTCTCCCTCCCCCTCCCCCTCCTCCTTCTTCTTCTTCTTCTTCTTCTTCCTTGTCTGTCTACTAATTTCTTTTTCTTCTGGCTCCTTCTCCTCCTTTCTTTTTCTCCTACCTTCTTTTCTTCTTTCTTTTTCTTCTTCCTTCTTTTCCTTCTCTTCCTCCTCCTTCTCTCTTTTTCCTCCTCCCTCTTCTTCTTCTTCTTCTGTGTGCCCTGTCTTTTCATGACGAGGGCGACCATGGCTCTCGGCAACTTCTAGTCCTTTTATTTCTTTGTCCTTCTACTATCACTACCCCTATCTATTTGCACCAGCCCCCCCCCCTTATGTATGTCGCTTCCTACTCTTCTATCACTCTTACTTACAACGTTTCCTGTGAGTGTCAAATTCTTCAAGCCCTCCTTCCTCATCATGTGCCCCCAAAATGCGTAAAGAGCTTATATAATGATTAAGAAGGACGTTAATTAAAACTTAATACCATTGCCTTGTCGCTGTTGCATTCAAATTCTGTTTCAGCATAGTATTAAATAGACAAAGATATTTTATAAAAATCAAAAAAATCTTCAGTTGATAAGAAAACAAATATATGACTTTGCTGGATGAAGAAGAGCCTATCCAAGACTTCTCCGAAAATCGAGTAGAAAACATTTGACTGTCTCAAAGATGTCATAGACGGAACAATCCTTCTACTATCGTTTCTTCAAATAAAGTGGATGCGAAAGACCGCATAAGCGCTTAAGAATTACATATTAAGTTCACATCTGTTATTTTCTGGTTTAGAAATGAAAGGGTTAAGAAAAAATATTTAAATATTTTATTTTAAATTATTTTATTAGCCTCACATATGTCTGTTTTTGGAGATAAGACAATTGAGTCGATGTAAAATGAGCTGCAAATTATTACTTTTCCACTTGCTGCAGAGAGGAAAGGAAAATTACAGAACTTCCTAAACAAAAGGAAACCAGGTCTAAACATCAACTGAAGGAAGACAGAAAGCAGTCAAAAGAAGAAGAAGAAAAAAAAAAGACGCTCCCTATGTGAACCACGAATAAGAGATAAAAAAAACTCCAACAAAAAGTTTAAATATCTGGGAAATGTTTTGACAGCGGATTGGACATGCGACACCGGAAACCGAATGCGTATTGGAACAGCTACAAATGGCGTCCAAACTCTAAGCAAATTACGAAGAAACATTGATTGATCGATTCGTTTTCTACGGCTTACAACCCATTGCAGATTATTTAAAGCAAGAAAATATTTTTAGATTGGAAGATTATTTTGGAGATAGTAATGTTTCAGCGTTAGAAATCTTACTAATTAATCCATAGCTGGAGGAGAAGAGGTGGGTTTATACCTTTCTTAAAGTTATTTGCGCATAAGTGAATATAACGAACCCGGCTGGAATTGGAATTCGTCTCTCCGATTTCTAATTCCAAGCCATTATTCATTACACCACCGGCACATCCAAGCCTACAGCACCTGGTATTCCCAAGCGGTCACCCATCTCGGTACTGACCAGGCTCGATGCTGCTTAACTGCCGTGATCGTACGGGAGCTGGTTTGAATGTGATGTGACCGGAAACAGGAAAATTTCATTAGAAAAAAAAAAAAAAAAGAATTCTGAACAGATGTGTAATGTCAGTCCTTCTATATGGAAGTGAATGCTGGACAATTTCTTCACAGATAAAGAGAAGGTTAGTGGCAATAAAAATTTGGTTCTACAGGAGGATGCTGAGATTACTATGGGTAGGCGGCGTAAGCAATGAACAGTCTTAAGGAAAATCGAAACAAAAATGTTACTTATATTCAGAATCGGAAAGAGAAAGGTGTTACTTCTTGGGAAAATAAGGAGGAAAGATGGCATGGAGAATTTGCCACTTAAAAGTAAAAGAGACAGGAGGCAGTGAGCAACTTACCTGACGGACCATTTAATGTATGGTTGGACAGGGTTTTATAGGTATGGTAAAAAGAAAGAAACATTACTAAGAGCTGCAAAGGATAGTTGAGGAGAGATATTATTGCCCACGCCCTGAACGGATAAGGTATATAGAAGAAAAATTAACTAGAAATGTCAAAGAGAATAGTTCGAATCCAGATAAGAGATACGTTTAGGATTTATTAAAAACCAGTACTGGATTGGTGTCCCTGAAAGAATGCATCAATCGCGAAGAGAAGAAAAACATATTCCAGAACTTGAAGCCGTAAGGCAGGAAATAATTGAAATGACTCGAGGGGAAAGCATCGTTTTCACGGAACCTACCATTTCATCACTGGAAATCCCAAACATTCTTTAAATTATTCAGGGCCGTTGCTGCGGAGGAATACTGCAGGGATGTTTTAATCAACACCAATGTCATTACAGTGGTGAATGACAATGTAGAAAGGCATCTTGCCCTGATATACGAATTCAACGAGTAACTCAGATGCGAACAACGGAAGAAAGACATGTTGAGGAATAGCAAACACCAATTAGAAGACATCAGCAAGCAAAATATATTTTGTTGTATTTTATGAATTATATAAAATAGATTAAGATTAAAATTAACTGAATTATCAACTTTTTTTATCTTTAATCTTGTTTTTTGACATTATTAAAAAATGTAAAAATATGAAATTCCGTTTTCTATCAATAATCTACAAGGGAACACTAAGTTCATCAATAGAAGTACAAACTCACGCGTTTCTTACTTCTGATTGCATAACATGAGTGTCTGTTCATGCATTTGAGGAAATTTGCTTTCTAATTGGTTGCCTAGTTTCATTGAGTTCACTTTGAAAGATAAAGTATCGATATCAGTTGAAATGAGAACATGAGAAACATCTGCTAATATATCGTATTTAAATTTTTCATCTATAATTTGAGGACCATCTTGTGCATATATATATATATATATATATATATATATATATATATATATATATATATATATATATATATATATACAGGAAGAGGGATCATCAATTCAACCTAGAGCTAAATAGATCAATTAGAAAAGATCTAACTGAAGCTTTAAGACGTTTGGCAAGTTAGGAGTAGTTTCATCTATGACAGTCCAAAAAGCAGTGAAAAAGACTTGAAAATGAAGCCATACACATGAAACCTATTAGGTAACTTGTTACCCCAGAACAGAAAGTTAGAAGGTTAGAGATGGTGAAGGTCATCTAAAAGTTTGGAAATTATCCTGGAATATATATATATATATATATATATATATATATATATATATATATATATGTGTGTGTGTGTGTGTGTGTTTGTTTGTACTTTATTTCAATCCTTCATGAGCTTCTGATCCTTCTCTATGATTAATTAATGATGAACATGTCATTTTCGTTTATAATCGTTCCCATCATCAATATTGTGTTAAGCTTAGAGAATAATTATGCAATCATATTGCTCAAAGTAGAGTCCATTTGTGTTATAAAAACCTCCAGTAAGATATCTTTAATCATTTCTAAGTTACAACTGTTCAGAGCTTAATCTAACAATTGGACAATTTTACCGTTATACCCGGTATATATATATATATATATATATATATATATATATATATATATGACAAAGTGGAAAAAATTTGTGTTACACGTTTCGTTCTTTAGGACCTTATCGAACTGAATTTGTTTACGTTGTTGCCACTACAGAAGCGCACGAAAAAGAGATGGTGAGAATTCTAAATTTTAAATTATTTTTCGTTTTTTATTGTTTTAATTTGGATTGGGTGTATAGTTTAGGCGATTTCATTTTGATTTCTTTTCTTTTTCTTTTTGTTTCCATCACTTTTGTTATTAAATATCCCACATTGTGATATTAAAAGATCTACGAAAAATTGTGAAATGTAAGAGACCCGGTATAAATTTACTGAGGATGATCTAGTGGTCAAGGCACCCTCTAAATATTTTCGTCTTAATGAATTATTTTGTTTTTATCAGTGTAGCATTTGTATATAAAAATTGTGGCCGGTCTGTTACGATGAGCAACTAATGCATTTAATGTCTTTTTATGTAAAATGTTCCTTTTGTGTTCGTATAACCTTTTTATTTAAATTCCTTGAGGTTTCTCCAATATATTCTTTCTGGCAATCCTTACAAGTGATAGAGTAAATTCCTCCTTCAAGTTTTGGCTTATTGTTTTGTTTTGCATTGACCAAATCTTTTATTGTTTTAGATGTAGTTGTAAGAAATGTTATGTTGGGTTTTGGGAAGTTCTTTTTAATTGTAGCTGTAATCGAGTTAGTTGGTAGGATAAAATATATTTTTTTGATTCTTGGATTTGTGCCTTTTGTTTTGCCTTAAATATAAAACAAAATAGGGTATTGAAGGGTCCTGAATGTAATTTCAAAATATTTCTCCTCTTATAAATTTAGAGGGCTCAAAATTCTGAGTTCTCTAAACTAGAATCCGACGATTAGTTTGGATTTTATTTTGATGATATAGAAAATAGAGGTTTATTAGAACGTTTTATTGGCTTTTGTTCTTCATATATAAAAACATATGTGTATATATCGTTATCTAATATATTCAGTTTGTAGGCATTATATAATGCTTACTTTAAAATACAATCACAAGAATTTTTCAAAAAAAATTACGCATTACAATTACATATCCATTATTTTATTAGTATATAATAGTCCATATAATATTTACTTAAATATTTGATCTTTCTAATTGTTGAGACCGTAACATACCTACAATAGGGACTTTTCCAGGACTATATAAAGTATGCGACATAACACTCTAGGGAGAAGAAGAAGAAGAAGAAGAAGAAGAAGAAGAAGAAGAAGAAGAAGAAGAAGAGGAGGAGAGAGTATTCTAATACCGTAGTATCAGCCGCGTACGACTACCAATATTGGACACGAGCACATAGTAAGCTCCGCTTACACTTACACTATCTCTGTAACCTTTTTGTTTAATATATCTTTCTTACCTCTAATCCGTGTTCCGTGTATTCCTTCCGTGGTCCCAACTTTAGGCCCACATCACTAACTTTAATATTGCCTTGTTGCATTGCACATTCAATATAATAAGTACCACATTTTAGGTGCCATATATATATATATATATATATATATATATATATATTTATACTAGCAACCCCTTTAAGTAGGTTTTGTAGCATAAAAAATTGAAATTCCTTAAAATTAACTTTTTGCTAAATATAACTCTGTCTACTTCACCTTATATAACAGTTTGTCTGCTGTCTAACGTGCCTAAAATGTCAGTGTATCTGGACACTTTATTTTCCATTTTCCCTTTTAGCTTAGATCTATATCTTAATCGGTTAATCCAGACATGCCCACAAGTATGTTTTTATTAATTTTGAAATTAGGTTTTCCCGGCGACAAGCGGCAAGAATCTGTTTGATCATTCAACACATTCTTTAGGCCATGTGTGCTGTGTTTTGGCGCGACTATTTATAGATGTTGTTTTCTGTTAAGAGAACAAATAGCATTTTAAAGTAACTAGAAATAACGGCATTCGAATCCACAATTCTTCCTACTCAGTAGCCTCTAGAACAATTTGAAACATGACCATAAGTGCCAACCTTATAACATTTAGGAGAACACAACAGACCTCGTCAGCCATGATGCACTATTGAGAAGCGTATATAAATAGTCGATCAAAAATACAACACACATGGCCTTATGATTGCATTGAATAATGACACTAATTGTCACGTCTTGGTGTTGACATCAGTATTCACCTTTTTATTTATATATGATCTATCTCTGATATTGAACACTTTTACCCATCAATATAGCATACCATGAAACTATATTTTTCTTATATATATATTTTTTTTCTTATATATATAAATTTTTTTCTAATATATATTTTTATCACATATATATATATATATATATATATATATATATATATATGTGTGTGTGTGTGTGTGCGTGCTAATAAATACACATATGCCTACGTTTGACGCGCGGCTCGAGTTTCGTTGGTCACCCCCAAAATTTTCCTTTGTCTTTTTATTTGAAACTCGGAGGATATATCTAAAACAGGAGAGACAGACGTAACTGGTGTGTAAGATCTACATACGATTGAAAGTAATGAAATAGTCTCGGCTCTTGATGTAGAATACTTGTCTGAGTTTATTTAGAGAGATGTACGCTGAGAAAAACCCTTCGAAGAAACCTTAATGAAAATCTAAAAAAAAAAAGAAAGAAAAAAAGAACACTTATAAAGACATAGGCGTAATTTCTAGGACACACATCATGAGGAAAGAGGGCTTTAAGAATCTGACACTCACAGGACATGTTAAAGGCAAGAGGAGCAAAGAGAAACAGCCAGCAACTTACCTAAGAAGCTTGAGTAAATAGATAGCAGAACGGGGAATGGGTTGGAGATTAAAAAGACATTGTTAAGAGCTATACATTCTGACGGCCTATGATCGGTCACGTCCTGAGAGAAGAAGACACATGAAGAAAGAAATCGTCTCTGATAATCGCTGCCATTCAGTGAGTAGTGAATTCATGATAAGTTCATTCGTCAGGCCAACTTAGAGACGCTATGGTTAGGTGATATTTTTTATTTTATTATATCGCTTGACTATTTTAGCATCTTCCAT